TAGTCCATCGTGTTCAGTTCAAATACTCTTGTTGACATTACAGTTTTATGCAAGATTAGGAAAATAAATATTCAGCCCAACATCAGGATTCTTCTAGTTCTGAGAGGATATTTCTTCCCTGTAGAGTAATTTTTATAATTTTTAATTCTTTTATATCTTTAAGTCATGAATGGAAACTTATGAGAATGGTAGATTATGTTTTTATTTAGAGAGATACTTGGAATGATCTTAAATTTCTCTGGACAGATTGCCATGTGTACTATACCTTGCATGATGGATGTAGTCCTAAGGAGATGAAAATCCTAGCAGTAAAAGGTATTATTAAAAGAAGGCAGTAATGAGTGCCAGATTTAATGGGAAAAGTGATAATGCAGTTGATTGGAAAGGCTCTACTGAATTCCTATTCACAATGTGTTCTGTGAGACAGGTGGCATATTGGTTTTTGGTTATCACAGCTTAAAACATTGTCACCAATTCTTCAAAAGTTACTGCTTTTTTAATCATCTCCTTTTCCTTTTTTTTTTTTTTTTTTTTTTTTTTTTTTTTTTTTTTTTTTTTTTTTTTTTATTTTATTTTATTTTTTTTTTGTTGTGAATCAGAAATTGCTTGAACTTAGGAATGCTGCTTAGCATGGAGGAGCAAGGGTGATTTTGAAAGCAAATGCCTTTTGCATATAAGCAAATGCTTATTGCCTTTCTGGTGCTTATGACTGGTTTCTCGTGAATTCTTCAAATTCTGATTTGCTGAATCTTTTTGTTTTCTGGGACTTTGGAAAGGATTTATTTTATGTACTTTTGGATTTGAAAAAGGTATATTTCCTTCTAGCTGACATTTTAAGAATTGCTAGAGTTCTCTTACTGTTCTAGGACAGATCACGACAATGAATTGACATTTGTTTATGAAATCACATTGATTCCAATTTTAATTTTTCCTTGCATTTTAAGAATTTAAAGCAGTGTTTTTTCAAGCTGTTTGAGTTTTGATCTGGACATACCAAATATTATACCAGTAGTATTATACCAATATTTTTCACTGTCCTTTATACTTTGTAGGGTTTAATGTCATGCTATTGTAAAGAAATGCCACATAAGAAGAGACTACTGCTGAACAGGCAGTGTTGTTTGTTTGTTTCTTATGAATTCAGGTGGTGCTTCTTTGTAATTTTGTTACTCATTCATAATTTACCAGCATATTCATGTCGTTGCCACAGAACAGCCATGAAGTATCTTCCAGAGTTCAAAGGATCTTGCAAATTTTTTTTCTTTTTATTTGAAGGGTATATGATGGAGAAAGATAATGCAGTAATTTTGAAAATATATAAAAGAGTATTCTTCAAAGTTAGAAGAAAAATTATTTTCAAATAATTAATTAATGGGAACCAGCTAGTCTTTATAGGTAAACTGAGAATCAAACTCTTCAAGTTATTGTAAGGGACTGAGCCCATGGAAAATTTCTTACTTCAATTAAGTTTAATTAGGTAACATAGGTAAAATTAGGAAATCAGATTTTTTTTTCTATTTGCCTGCCTTATGTGGAGCTGCTTTACTGTTGTTAATTTTATGTCTGCTGAGATGTTTTGGAAAGCATGTGTCTAAATGTATGCATTTTCCTCACAATGAGCACTTATCACAATTTAAGGAAAAAAGCATTCTTGGCATTTCCCTGAAGAATGTTAGTTTTGAGATACAGCTGTATTTCTATTTCTGAAAACTAGAAAAAAACCCCCATAAAATAATTTTTGTAGGTGAGTGTGTAAGCTGTTTGTCTGCCTACTGCTTAAAGAAATAGCAGACTTGTTCTGCTTGTTAAAATCAGAATTTCTTAATGTAATTAAAAAAAAAATACAGCTAAGTGACTAGTGAAATAGTCTCTTAAAAATTAATTGCTGAAAGAAGGCTATTTCCAATTCATGAGATATCACAGTCCAGTTAGTGCTAAGAACTTGACTTCTTAGAATTATGCTGTTTTCTTTTAGTTTGGTTTTTTTTTTTTTTTTTTTTTAGTTTGAAAGCCACCTGAATATGTTACAGTGTCTCGGCCTCAGGCATAGTCACTGCAGCAGTGAAGGCATTTTCTGTTGATTTGTTGTGGGATTCCCCTTGGGATGTTCCTTTTTTATTTTCTTCTGACTTGCTTATTATGTTTTCACAACTAATTTCACGAGGGTGGCGTGTTCTAGGATAGTCAATTTCTGAGGCATCCACCCAGAACAAGGGACATGAAATGTTAAGTACGTGTTTTGAGTCAGTCATAGGAATAACGTGAGGCAGATTTTCCAACTATCCAAAACCGTAAGGCACCAGATCCAATATGCTGACTTTTACTTCTTTGCATTTTCTTTGTTTGAGCATTTGATTTTTAAAATGAAGGAAAGACTAGAAAAACTTCTTCTCCTCTACAAAAGGGAGTGTAAACAGAAGAGAAGGGTTGGAAGACTCTGGGGGGAGCCTATGTAAGATCTGATTTGTTGCTCATAGTGCTGCAAGGAGGCAATGGCTGCTATTGGGAGACACCCCTCCCCTATTTTTTCCCTTCAGCAGCAATTACTTTCCAGTATCTCCAAAGACAGTAGCAGACTTTACTTTTGAGAGATTTGCCCCACTGTAGGCAGCAGCCAATTTTTCTTATGCCTTTAAGTTAGACCTGAATCTCTCAGAGTAAATGTTCATGAGAATGGCTTCCACAATGGCATGAATAAAATTAAATTCTTGCTGTTGTAATAGTGGTTCTCCTTGTTGACTTTGCAACTTAAATGAGTGATATGTGCATGGACCAAAAGAACATTTTAGTTTACTGAGCTGTTTCTTATTGCTATTCTTGTATTTACTGGGGCTTGCTTTGATGGAATCAAGCTTTATAGCTACTCCATGGTTTCACTACAAAAGTATCTGTAAATACAAATTAATACATACAGACATGCATACACACACATACATGCAAATATATGTATATATTTACATTTATTTCACAGTGATCAGCAATATTGTCTTTTGATGTATGGTCAGAAAGGACGTGTTTGGATTTGCTTTCACAGTCAGAACCTGTTTAGTGGATTTGTAATTGCGTAGTACGGTCCTGTGGTTCTTTGGGCAGTATTTATTAGGCTCACACAGAGCAAGGAGCTGACTCTTGCTGGTACCCTGCAGACTGAAGATATCAGCTTCAGGATTTCCTGCAGCATCAGTTAGTGCAGTGACTGAGAAATGAGATTTTGATTTCAGAAAGCTTGACTAAGTTCTGCAGTAAAATGTGGCATAACACATTTTATCTGCTCACTGTGCCCCTGGAAAATTAACCTTTATTTCTACCTTCTAAATTTCTAAGGATCCTATATTATTTATAACTGCCAGTGCTCATGGTACTTTGTTAAATTCTAAACCTAATTTAAAGTATTAGCATTACACATAATTTACCTCCTAGCAATCCCATATTTCATATTTAATTTCTACATTGATAAGCAATTTATTGCCTAAATTTTGAAAATGGAGGCTGATGACAGTCCTTCACCTCTGATGCTAAAATGCAGAAGCTTGTTCACAGCCAGTGAATTAGCAAATGCTTCTGTGTTTCTCTGTGAGTACAAATATTATAAAAATAAAATATCGCAAACTGTTGTCAAAATATATTCTTTCACTCCCTCATCTTTAATCAAGTCATAATACTGAATGCAGTGGGCTTGTGCTTAGTTCTTAAACGTCTTAAAATGTTAAGGTTTGAGATGGATTATAAAGTCATCATTGTTTAAGCAATTCTTCCCCTAATGTGGTTTTTCACACTCCTACTGTTTCTTATTTCTAACCTGTTCTCTTCTAAGATGAAGATATTTTAAGATACTGCTTTCAAAAAATGTCTTGGGTAGTCAGTAACCTGACTATCAGTGAAAGTGCAAAAGATTCACTGTCTCTTTAGAAATCAAAGCTTGTAGTATGTGGTTCCTTCTGAGAATTTTTTCAGTTGCTGTCCAGTGCTGTGATTAACAGAGGTCAATATCAAAACCACAATATTAAAGAGCCATTGATCCCAGCCCTTCTTCATCTCCCATTAGACAAGAATATTTTTGCATAAGCTCCTATCATGAATATAGATGGCACAGACAGGTTACTGTCTAGCTTGACTAGGCAGAAGATTTGTCCTCCCTTTCCCCTTTTAACACACCGAAATATTAGATGTTAGTCCTATCAACCATTCCAGAAGAAAGCTGATAATCATCATGAGTAGATGACACCCTCTTAGTTACATGGGGAATTAACAAAATGTTTGGTCCCTGCTTTCACCAGCTTCTTATACCACTTAATCCTCAGAATAAGCAAATAGAAATGCAAAACTTTTATTCGCATCTTAGAGGTGAAGGCTTAGACACAGTATGTGCTCCACTTCACTCTAATTAACATTCCCTTTTGATTTAATGCAGTGAATATGTTAGCTTGAACTTGCTCATGGGAACTTGCTCACCTAAGAGGAAGTTACAAGTGTCTCTATCAGTTCTTCTGGTGTCTTTTATGTTTCCCCTTCTGCTGTTCCTAAGAAGATGACAAGAATTGTTTTTAATCTGTGTTCAATTTCATTGTGAATCTTGTGCTAAATTTATGATACTAATAAATGGGAGCAAAACTAATGAAGAAGGGCATTATTTTCTTTTTCCTCTTGGTGGGGGTGGAATAGATTATGTGATAAAAAGAAAGAACCAGATGTTCCAGGAGATCTGTTATAAAGTTTTAACAGGGACATAATGAGTTTTCAATGTGTAGACAAAATTATAACTTAAACTCCAGGGTTAAAAGTAGTATGTGCGTGTGTTTATTTTATGTTGATTTTAGTTTATATAATTTTTTAAAGAAAAAACAGATCATTTTTAGTGCATTAAATTGCTCAGAAAAACTGTATTTAGTTTTTCCACGAGGTCAGTGTTATGATTATTTACTTCAAGGTTGTTTCAGCACTAATGTACAATCACTGTTTCTTTTTCTTTTTTTTTTTTTTTTTTTTTTCTGGTGCTCTAGGAAGCAGTGACAGAAGGACAGAAGATGAAAGCTCCTATTCCCAACTTGATTCTCTTGTATGCTACTCTAACTCAGAGCCTGAAGGTTGTGACCAAAAGGGGATCAGGTAAGTAAATCTTTATCTCTGTAGTTACGATGTGGTTTGGAAAGAAGTGCCTAATGTTTGCAAGTATAGGACATTGTTATGGTGATTTGGAACTTTGTTAAGAGGATTTCAAATTCTACAGCAAAAAGGTATCTTCTATATATTTTTAGACTACTGTGTCATATATGTCAGATATGTAACGTGAAATGAATGTAACCATTCATTTGCTGAAGGAAAATTATTCCCAGAACTATTTAACTTACTTAAAAGACTTTGTTGCAGTGTGGTTGTGGTATTGGATTTATCTGTTTGATTATATACTTTTGGAAAGGAAGATCATAGAGTTTTGGTTTAAGCAACTGATTTTTGTAATACAAAAAAAAAAAAATAGATCAAACACATTAAATTTAATAACCATGAAAAGTGAACAGCAGAATGTTGTTTTTTTGAAGGGATACCTGAAACATAGTTGAAGTGTTTAATTCAGTGAAGAAAATAGAGGCAGTTTTTCAGAAACCAAGCAGAGGGTGATGTGTTTACCAAACATCTTTCATAGTGTTACTATAGATGAATCATCTTCTTACGTAAATAAAGAGAACAGCAGTACTTAGACAGTTAGGTAGTTGTGGGTTCATTTTCTCCCTGTCACCCTCAAATTCCTGTTTTCTTCTCTTTGGCTTTTCACTGTATAGTGAAAAATAAAATAGGATACTACTTCTGCAAAATATCCTGCTATATGGCACTAAAGAAAACTAAATCCTTAATGAAAGTCTTAATCCCATGTTGATGGAATTAATTAATTAGGTTTGTTGTTGCTAGTCATTTTCCGTTTAGCGTTGGGGTGTTTTAGGCAGCTTTTGTTGCTGTTCCAGAAGTCTGGCTTTGATTTGTTTTTGTATTTTGGTTGGTAGTAGTTGTAAGCTGGAGCTTGGGGAGAACACAGGTCTTTATACATTTTGGGCAACAACTTAAATTATGTCTTGCATTTTTGATGGATTATATTTGTAACAATATAATGAAACTGATTATGTCTCCAGTATTTTAGTATCTGGAAATGTAGATTGAGGGAAGGCAAATAACTATAAATTAAGGTATTCTGCAATCAGGACTTGAGATAAAATTATAATTGGGGTTATTTAAATGTAACAAAACTGAAATATGGAGATTGTGTACTGAGCAAAGGAGATGGTGATTGGTTGACATGTTTATAGTAGGATATTGAAGCCTAGATAGATAACATAGACATCCTTTGAATGTATCTGGGTAAGGTGTTCTGTTTGATTAAGATTTAATACTTGTTAGCTTTAAGGCCCCTTAATCCAAATTTAATACAAAGATTATTGATCATCTTAAAGTAAATTTTTCAAAGACATCCATTTTTAAGGAACTGAAAAATGGCCAGTCATCAGATACCTGTTACTCGGAAGTGACGAGAATAAGAACTTGGATTGTTTTTGTATTTTATTTTGTAATTTTTACCTGTATCATCTTCCTCTGATTAACCAATGCAAGGAAAAGTGTAAATATGCAATGAAATTTCCCATCAGGAAAGTAATGTAATTGCTGTCCAGCAAAAGAAAGAGCATACAAAACTTCTCAAGATGTATAGAATATTTTCTCATCCTGATGTTGTAATAAAAGGGAAAAGCTATACTGGAAATCTTTGGATCATACCTCACTGTAACATGGGGTTCTTGATGTTTTTGTGTGAGATCTGTATCTTCTGTATACAGCTTCAATCAGATGTGTCACCGAGGGGGCAGTTTGTCATGCTGTGTGTGCAAAGCAAAAGTCTCTGATTACTGAAGTCTGCCTTTGGTCATGTTGTTTTGTGATTTTTAGATTTGAGAAACCTCCTCAGACGTAGGTGGAATGTAGTAACATGCGTGATAATGCTTGGTTTGCTTTTGTTGCGGTTTGATTTGGCTTTTTCCTCCCTTGGATGTTCAGCAGGCCTGTTTTTGCAACCCTGAAGTGTTTCTACTAAAAATATTCTTCATTTTAATGAAAGCTTTAATAAAATAAGATTGGCTTATCTGTACTGTGAAAATATAAATGATTTCCTAAAGCTGATGCAACTTATAAATGGAAGTACGAAGGAAAAATTAACTTTGAAAGAAGAACTTTAGGTTTTATGTGAACATGTTAATCAGAGGCAGAGGGGGGCGAAGACATGGTTTAAACCTCTCTAGTCAGTGAGTTCACTTTGTCCTTGAAATACTGTCATGAAAGGAAAATGAATAGAAAAAATATTTTTATACGTATAATTATAAATAATGGAGTATTAATTATAAATATAGAGTATTTTTAGATATATTATTTTTCTGTACTTCCTTCTCTTTTATGAATTACAGGACTGTATTGTAGGTAAAGAAGTTGTTACATTTATATGCTAATTATTTATCTTAATTGTGACTTATTCACTTCTGTTGAGCTTATTTCTAAGTATCAAACCTGAAATCACAGATCTTTTGATCTTTATATATTTAATTAATTATGTTCATATATATTACATATTTTATATATATAAATTTAATGTATTATATATTTGTATATTTTTAAATATATTCTTTATTTATTGTTATAAAAATATGTCTTTTCAATACTATCAGTTGGATTTTTTCCTGCAAGAGTGCTTCAGCTCTCTTCTTTTGTAAGTTTTTTTTATCAGCTGTGCAAAAAAGATAGTGATTAATAAAAGTCTGACTTTCTCCGTCTGGTAGAAATACATCTCCAACTGCTTCTCTGATCTGTCAAGAACATGACAACTTACCTTGAGAAAGTCAGTGAGGATTCACAGCATGCCAAAAATGTGGAATAATTTGTGGACTCAAATTCTGGATTTATTTCTAAAAATGGATAGCAACTCTGACTATTTACTTACAGGACTGAAGTTATATCAAATGAGTAGCCATATCTGTAAACAATTAGGATCAGTATAATATTCTGGTTTTGTTTGTTTGAAAAGAAGGTTAAAAAAAACTTCACAATAGAAGAAATCTTAGGTTGTGCTGCATTTGGATTAGGTCTATGAGGAGAGCTGTCCTGCATAATGAGAGCTGTCATTATGCAGAGCACTTAAATTAAATTACTTAAAGGCAGTCCTTGAATCTTTCTACCTCTTTGTGCTATTAATAAGTTAAATATAATAATATAGGGAATAAAAATAGTAGTATTAATCAAATATTTATTATACTACCCAGAAAACATACTTTAAATTAGCTTGCTCACATCTGTGTTACATAACTTTTTCACACTTACCTTGTAGGTATGATTGTGTTTCTATCTGACAGAAGATACATTTTTTTTTTCCAGTTAATATTTTAAATAATTACTTAACAATTTCAAGTTACTCTTTAACATATTTTACATCTTTAACTTATTTTACATTTAGAACATGTAATAACTGTACTTGTTACATAAGAATGGATGGATGAGCAGTTGTAGTAATAGTTTCATTACTAAATACAGATGAAGCAAGAAACTTCTTCCTAATCCATGTATGAAAACTCTAAAATAGACTCAAGCAGACCTAAAATTTTCCTGTCAGTTATAGTTGAATGCATAACACCTACAAATCTTAATGCCTTCTCAAGCAAGAAAGTATTCTTTGCCCTAAACTTTGCAGTTAGAACCACTGATTTCATAGTGGATGTAAAGTTTATTAACTGGGTGTTTAAGGTATTCAGTGAAGCCTCCATGAACTTCTGGAGAGGCTTCAGAGCCTTTGACAGTAACTGCAAAGATAACTTTTTTTTGTCATGTAATAAATCTCAGATATGATCTGCTAAATGGGAAGCTGATCCCTTCACTGCTTCCCAGCTTCTTGAAATATCTTAAAGCATCTTCCTTCATGAAACAATTCCTTTCTTTGATCACTGTGTCCTGCTTGATGCAAAGGAAGAATAAATACTTAAAGCTTATGTATTTTGATCCGTTCAGCATATAGTTTTACAAGAATTGACTTAAACCTCAAAAATGCAGGAAATAATGCCTGTTTTTTAGCATGAAACCAACCTATATATAAATATATATAAATTTATATATAAATTTATAATATGCCTAAAAAGATGGACTTTTTGTGCAATTTACTACCCAGTGCAGCCCTGATAGTATTTCGAGGACTTAATGCAGTTCTAAATTTTTTCCTTTCATTGGTTTTTCCTGAAATTATCCATTTTCATAGTTTGAACTAAATTGTTGATTTTTTTTTTATTTTTTTAAATCCATATGATCGTACATCCTTGGAAACTTAGGTTTCTAAGAGCCTGTTCTTTACAGGTTGAATGGTATTTGATCACTTACTTGCGGTGAATAGAGTTTTTGCTTATGAATTATTTAATATTCATCAAAGAGGAAGTAGGTTAGGAAAGAGAGCCTCATGCTGATGCATACATACTTTTTTTCACTATAATATGTATGTTAAATGAAATACTTGAACACTGCATTGCCATCTGGTGGTTTTTTCCATGGATGCTGAATAGACAAAAGAAAGAAAAGTTTGGGATTTTGGTTTGGGGGTTTTTTGTTTGTTTGTTTGGGTTTTTTGTTTATTTGAGAGTTTTGTTTGGTTTTGTTTAAAAAAATCTGTAAAAAGGGAAAAGGTGGGAAAAAATATCTGAAGAAATTTCATTACGTAAACCAATAATGAGCTGATTGGTATATTCAGACAGTATTAGTGTATCTGCTTTTTTTACACTAAGATTGTCTAATAATCTACTGTTTACTTGTATCAAAAGAGTTGAGAGTTGTTATTACTGCCTGTAGGTCTCTACTTTTCTACAGATTATTTTGCATTACGACTTAATTAATTAATTAATGTTCTGTGTTCAGTTCTGCTATTGTGAATGGAAATTTTCTTTTCTAGATCAGGTTTATTCTCTGCTGGAATAGTTTTACTGGGAGGACCATCTTTCCAATGATGTATAATTAGGATATGTATGAGGTTATTCACATGTTTATGAGGAGATTAAAGGCTGCATATGTATTTTTGTGATGTTGGAGAAGACTAGTTTTTTTAA